TAATAATTTATATAAAATTAATTATAAATATTACAATTAATGAGTTTTAACATATATTTTAAAGGAATAAATTAAAAAAAATCTTTTTTTAAAAAAATATGGGATACTGAGTAAACTTTTAAATTTGTTTTTTTTTTTTAAATTAGTTTTAAAATTCACAAATTCATCTGAAAACATTTCAACTTTGAAATCAAAAAAGGAAAAAAGAAATCCAATGGGCGAGAAAGGACACATAAAAGCAGTTGCACCAATGCAACTTTTTATCTTAACGTTAATCCCCCTTTAATTTTTTTTTTCTCTTTTTACTTCAATAATCAGTAATGGTATTCCAAACCAGACAAGATTCGATTCCCCAGCTAAAAAACTTGTTTAGAGGGAATAATATTTTATGGACGGTTCACACTTGACTAGATCTAAAAGTCAGTGCTTAATTTTAAGTCAGTTGTTTTTGTCTGAATCAGGAAGACGAACTACTCGTCCAAAAAGGCAATTTTTTTTAGGGATTGAAATATCTGAGAATTAAAAGGAGCCTACTTTTAGTGGGTGTTGTTATGGCAGTCTGATTAAATGTTAACGTTACACGGTTATTATGATAATAAAAATATTAATTTAATTTAATTTAATTATAAAAATAATTAATAATTAATAAAAGAATTAATATTAATTATTTACCAAAAAAATTTAAACGAGGCCAGTGATAGCTTCAATGCCGAGCCCACGCCGCATGAAATGTTCTATCAGTGAAACACGACCAGATGAGTACTGGGGCCCTAGTGCCCTACATCACGAAATTTCCTCTTGCAAAAACATCTCATTCGTTGCATAAATATTGAGATTGGACGTCCAAAGGATTGGGATTGCGAGCCTGTTAGACGCCTGTCGCCACCAAAGGATTAGGAGAATTATGCATTAATATTGAAGGAAACCAAATTGTAGTTTTATGTTAACTTCCAAAATAAATCCTGTGGACAATCTCCAGACTTGAATTATTTGCTAAACAGATGTTGTTGATGAGTGTGATGCACGTCCAATAAATATTTGGGGTTGTGAATGGTTTAGTCTTATTTTTTTT